GCAATAGAAACCTCTTAAGTGTTTATAAGAAGATGCAGCCTGGTATCAGTGGACGACAGTGGCATGGAAATGGACTTGAAGGTGAGTTCAGAGAAGGGGAAGGCCCCTATTTTCCAGTGGGCAATCTGATGATCACCAGGAAATCTGGGCCCAGCCTGGGCTTTACTTTCTAAAAATAAGAAACTTCTCTAGCTTTCTAATCAAGGAAAGTTAATGACAAGATTATTCTGTAGTAATCTGACAATAAATGGAACAGAATGAAAGGAAGTCAAAGTGTATAAATTTAGTGTATGTGAAATATCTGTTGCTGAATGATAAATCATAATATACCAAAACCATGACTTTAAACAATAAACAGGTATCTTGCAAGTTTCTATAGTCAGAAAAAGCAACAGCTTTACTGAGTATTTCTGGCCTATGGTCTCTCAAGGCTCAGTCAGGATGGATGTTCACTGGAGCTATGGCCAGTTGGAGGCCTCACAGGTTAGCGGATCACTTCCCAGGGGCCCCTGCACACAGTCCTTTTCCACATGCACCACAGCGGGCTCTTCCAGAGTCCTCCGGTGTGGCCATGGGCTTGCCCAGGGTGAACAATGCAAGGGTTTCTTTGGAAAATAGAAGACGCACTAACTAGAAATGGGGGAAAGAAAAACAGTTTAGTTTTATGTTGCCTGAGAGATGCAATGGAATCTCTTGGAAAGGTGTTGGCTTTACAGAAACGTTTCTGAAAGTGTCCAGATGGTAAATATTTCAGGTCTTGAGGGGCTTCATACAGTCTGTTGTACACATGTGGGGTAGGGGAGCAGTATTTATTAACTGCAAAAGTGCAAAAACTATTTTCACTTCACAGGTGACAGTTTGCCAAAGTGTGCCCTGAACTGTCTTCTAACAACTGGAAAGACAAGCATAGAACCTGATTAAAAGTCAAAGCTTACGAATCCAAATCAGTACTAAGTCAGATCTCTTACTACTTGTCTCCTTCACTGTTCATAGTTAACTCTGAACTAGTGATTATAAAAGTTTGTTTTCTTTTTTTACCCCTTCAAATACATCTGTTCCATCAATATGCAGCCTAGTATTGTCCAGGTCAGCCCTCCCAATGGGAGTCCACAGCCTAGCAGCAGGCCAGCTCGGGAGTAGCAGCAAAGTGGACTGAGAACTGCAAGCCCACACTGAGGAACTTCACGTCCACTCTCTGGCTCCATCCAAGGGGTCAGTGTCCACATTTACAGATGAGGAATCCAAAGCTCAGTCATCTGCCCAGGCTTACTCCTGCATAAAATGCTTTTAAAAAAGCATATGTTGGCCCTCTCTGGTGGCGCAGCGGGTTAAAGCACTGCACTGAGAAGCTAAAGCCACTTCCGCATGAGTTCGATCCCCGCCTGCACCGGAGGTGACCACATGGCATGGCAGACCTCTCCTGACCCGCCCGCTGCTCCCCTCGGCATTATACTCCGTCGATCTGCCTGTTCTGCTCCCCACTCTGTCTCTGGTGAAGCCTCTCACCGCCCCTGAGTTCTCTGGCCTGTACCCCAATTCTGTATGTACAAATAAATAAATCTTTAAAAAAAAAAAGCATATGTTAATAGAGTTCTAAA